GGTCATCTGACTGTAATAGGATGTGGGAGTATCTTTGGTCATCTGACTGTAATAGGATGTGGGAGTATCTTTCGGTCATATGACTGTAATAGGATGTGGGTATCTCTGATCTGCTCCTGTTGGTGTTTTCTATGTCTCTTGCATCTGTACTAGTTTCTCTTCTCAAGAGTTGCCTTTTCTTTATGATTTTATTGGGATCTTTTCTGTTTCAGGCATATACTTCTCTGACCATACTTCATAGATTTTTTTTTTAATCTTTCATAGTGTCCCAAAGTTCTCCCATGTTCTATTAATTTGCTGTTGTTGTTTTTTAAATTATTATGGGTCTTGACTGAGTGATCCAATCCTTTTCCTTGTCTTTAAGCCATGATGTGTTCTCTGCATGATCCATTCTGCTTGTTAGGTTCTCCACTGAACTTTTTTTAAATTTGAGTTAGTGATTTTTTTTTATTTGCAGAATAAGTTTGGCTTTCCTTCAACATTTCTGTCCTTGAATTCTATTTGTATATCTTGAATTGACTTCCTTATTTAATTAAACTGTTTATGTTTTCTTAGCGTATATTCATACCCTCTTTGAGCTCTTTGCTCATGCGCAATCCTCTGTCTGATGAGCTTCCATCTCAGATTGACATTCACTGGCAAAGGAAATAATAGTTTTCTCCAGTCTCACTGGGGATATTAACCAACTTAAGGACAGACCCTATGCCCAGCAGAAGACAGCCAGCACAAAGTGAACGCATGGTAATTTTTATAGACCTTTTCATCTCCTATCACTTTGGGCATTTATTGTCTTTTGTATACTATACTTTCCAATTTTGTGGGGTTTGTGTGAGTGTGTGTGTGCGCGTGCGTGCGTTTGTGTGTGTGTGTGTGTGTGTTCTCTGTGTGTTTCTTGTGCTTTCTCTTTTTCAGTTTTTTAATTTCTGGTTTGTTTGCCTGTTTGTTTTCTGGGGGCGGGGGAGGGAGAATGGAGTTGGTTAGGTGACGAGGCCAGAAGGATCAGAAAGGCATTGCAGCAGGGGAAACTGTGGTAAGAACATACTGTATAAAAAATTACTTAAAGAAATTCTCTGTCTGGAAGTCATTCCAAATTGCTTTCATTATTGGTCTTTACTATAGAATTGCTAGTTTTTGGAGGAGACATGTAGGAGATGGTTGACTTTTTATTTTATAAGTTTAAAATATTTATTTATTATTTATGCACATGTATATGTGCCTGAATATATAAGTGATGCATCCTGTGTGTGCAGGGCCAGTAGAGGACGGTTTTGAGACTAGGATGCTAGGAGCCAAACCTAGGTCCTGGGAACCAAACTCCTCCAAGTGCTTGAGCCACCTGGCTGCTCCCTTTGTGTTTTAAATTCCGGTCCTTTTCTTTTCCCAGTGCAGTGGCTCAGCATTTCCCTGGTGGTCTGCTGAGTCTCCTCCTGCTCCTGGCTTGTCTCTGCATCAGTTTATTATCAGGGTGGATAATTTCAGCATGGGATAATAATCACTAAATGATGCTGTGGGAGGAGGAGGTGTGGGAAAGAGTCTTTCCCTACAGGTCTCAAGACTCAACTGCAGCAGCGCCTTGGCTTAAGTGCCTTGTCACTCTGCAGTCACCCAACTGATGCCTACTGTATACACACCTCTGTCCTAGGCAACACAGGGATCAGAGGAAAGACATGATGTCTATCTCAGTAAACCTCAATTTCTACCTACAACTAGTCAAGATTTCCAGAGGACATCCGCTGTGGGACAAACCCAAACAACAGCAACAATCGCCTCAGGGTCATTTATGACGTCTGATGTTCTCAGGAAGCCGTGGTGGGAAAGGTTCTCTTACCTGGCTTGCAGCTCCAGGGTTCTCTCTTTCCCAGACACCTGGAAAGTGTGTGGATATTCTTCATTGTGAGTCTCCACAATTTTCATTCCATCAATGCCAACTCTGGTTCGAACTGTAAATTTTGAGCCCACCAAGCTGAATCTGGGCACACAATATAGTAACATGTTGTTGAACTGCAAAGAGACAGAATACAAATTAATAAACAGGAAGATAAAGAAAATAAATCTGAGTAATGTATCTCTGGACAGAAATGCCACTGAATTTTTTTAGAGTATATAACTTTCCTCTCTTTCTCTCCATTGTCTTGCTATGTAACCAGGATTGGTCTTGAACTACCAATCCTGTCTTAGAGTCCCAAGTGCTGGGGACATAGGCATATATTACCACACTTGAATGTTTTCTTAGAATTCAATTAAATATTAATTGAACAAATACATAATAAATGACTAAAGAGTGACTGAACTGTGAGACAAATTAAACAACTTCAAATATTCAGATCTGTCACACACACAAAAAAACCTCTCATTTAACATTTTTTTATAAAGTGGAACTTAAACCAAAGGATAAATGTAAGTAACCACTAGGCTGCAGGAGTCATACAAAGTATATCACATATCTGAATACTTTCTTTCTCCATATAATGTACTTTACACTTTTTCCTTCTTCCCAAATGATACATGAGAACTTAAGACTTCCCATGAGTTCCATTCTCATAGAATACTTTCCATTGCAATTCAAACTATCAGAAAAAAACATAGCATCAACAAATGCTATTGCTGCTGCTCTTGGTTGCACATTAGAACTTACATGGTGAGACCCTGTTGCTGAATACATCACACATTCTGGATGCAAGGTGTAGAGAAGTTGAACACTTATCTGGAAGCTTCCTCCTCAACGGCTAGCTTCTATTAGTACTGGAAGGTGCTATGTGTGTTGCTGAGGACAGAAGTTATCAGTGCCTCATCCCCATGTGGACCATGTGAACTACAACACCAACCTGTTAGATAAGATGTGCCTACTATGCCAACAGTGGCAGGACTGATATGGGGGTAATCAAATGATTCCTGATTGGATTTGGATTCTATAAGAGGAAAATCTATCAAAAAACCCAAGCGGAACTTACTACTGTTGTGTTGTTAAGTGGACATGTTGTAAAGGTGCTTCATAATTATTTATGTTTATAGACATAAACAAAGGCTACTTTCAGCCCTGATTTGAGACGCTTCTCTTTGTAGTAAATGCAGAGATTCACGCTCGTTCAAAGTGCTGAGAATAAGTGACTGTTGAGAGGTCAACTGCAAAGAGACATCTGCATCTATCTCTTATGTCAAGGCCCAGAGAATACAACAAAAGAGGGAGAAAAGTATATGTAAGAGACAGAGGACCGAAGAGTGTGTAAGTTCTGTAAAACCCTGTCTTCTAGACACGACCTGCCACACTCATGAACTCATAGAAGCTCTGGATACCTGCATAAGACCTGCACAAAGATGGTACCTGCTAAAAACCTCATTGTCCCTGGGGAAAGGGGAGTCATTTTCTTCAGTTGTATAGTATTCTATACTCAAGTATATAATTCCCTACTCATACTTATCTAAACAATCCTAATCATTAGGTCACAAAAAAGAAAAAAAGAGAGAGCAAGCATGTTGCTGAGGAGGGGTTGATTTTATAGGAGCATGTTAGGAGAGGGCAATAGGGATTGAATACGATCAAAATATACGATCTATGTGCATGAAATATTAAGAAGCTTTTTTAAAAACCAGAAACCACTATATTTGTTCCTGAGCTATCTTTCTGCATTCTATATTAGTGACTCTTTGAAGGACAGAAGAAAAGATTGCATATTTTCTAAAGTGTTAGTCACAGTCCCATAGGTCACACTAACCCTGGGGATATTCTTCTTTAAACGGAAGCCAGTAGTGTGGATGGGAGTGTGGTGTGTGTAGTAGCAACTCTTCTTTTACACGAAGTAGGAGAGTTAGGTTAAAAATCACTAGTAGATATAAATTGCAGTGCTGATGGAATCCAACAGAAGGGTTAAGAAGTACAGGAGACTTGTTTTAATAACTATTCAGCATAATGTTTAAGGACATAACACAATTTTATATTATACACATATTTTAAGTTAGAAACTCAGTAAAGAATCTGAAGTTGCTTACTCCATCAGTAAATTGAAAATGAAAACTTTAAATCTGTTAGTGTACAGGATTCGGAAGTGGATCTTGAACTCAGAATGAGCTATCAGGTTTCAAGGAAAGTCACATAACTGGCCAGATTGGCTAACTGTTGCTTGCTGGGGACTGGTGGAGCTGGGGTAGGTTCTGATAGGGGAATAACCTGGTAAAGAAAACCTCTGTCTAGCTTTATAGGCAGAACCATGGTGGAGTGGTTTGCTGTTCTTGCTCTCATGTACCTTTTATAGCATCCTCTACTGAGAAAAGAGACCAGGAACACATCAACATTCAAAATAGTCTCAAAAAATTAGGAATAAACCTAATTAAAATGATAAAAGAAACACGCACACACACACAACAAAACAAAACCCCTTTAATCTCTAAAGAAAGAGATTGAGAAAATACTAGGAAATGGAAAGACCTCCCATGCTCATGGATTGGTAGAATTTTGAAAATGACCATTCAACCAAAAACAATCCCCAGATTCCCCATGTCATTCTTTACAGAAATAGAAACTAAATTCTGAAATTCATATGGGACCACAAAAGACCTCATATAGCTTGAAATCCCAATTTCAAGATATGTTACTGGTAGGAAACAGGCATATAGACAAAATGAACAAAATAGAATACCCAAATTTGAGCATGTATATCTACTGTCATTGGACAAAGATGTCAGAAACTCAGAGAGGAAAAGATAGCATCTTCAACAAGGGATGCTGGAAAAAGTAGATGTCAACACAGAAGAATGCAACCAGACCCATACCTATCACCTGCATAAAAATCAAAAGACCTCAATGCGAACCTGAGTCAGTGAGAGTGCAGAAGAAAACAGACAGTACCCTACAAGTTATCTGTTTGAAAAAGACTGTCTGCACAAGACTTCTTTAGTGAAGGAATTAAGGCCAAGAGCTGACAAATGGGACCTCATCAAGCTTATAAACTTCTGTGCAGCAAAGGGCAGAGCTGAGTTAAAAGGAAGCCCATAGAGTGGAAGGGACTCTCTGCCAGCTACACATCTGATAAAGGATTGGTATTCATACTACAGAAAGAACTGGAAAATGAAGAGTAAAGAAAACAAGTGACCCAACTTAAAAATGGGTTATGGATACAAACAGAGTCCTGAAAAGAAGAAATACCTTAAACAGTGTTTTACTCCTTAGAATTAGGGATTCCACCTTACTCTAGGCAAGATCAAGAAAATAAGGGCTGGTAAGCATGTACAGAGAGGGATCCTCCTTCATTACTGTTGGGACTACAACCTGTGCAGCCGCTATGGTTTGAAAGTCTTTTCAGTGTGAAAAGACTGACCACAGGCCCTGGCTCTCCACTCTGTCATATGTCCAAAAGAAGACTGACCACAGGCCCTGGCTCTCCACTCTGTCATATATCCAAAAGAATCAACATTTTATTCCATAGATAAGTTTTACTCTATCCACAATAGCTAGGCAACAACCTATCTGTCCTCCAGGTGATAAAGGGATGATGAGAATATGGTACATATACATAGTGGAATTCTATTCAGCTGTAAAGAGAAAATGAAATAAAGAAATCTGCAGGTAAATGAATGGAAATAGAATATATTATACTGGGTTAAGTGGCCTAGATCCAGCAAGACAGATGTCACGTTTTAATATTTGTGTGGATTCTAGATCTGAATCTTCAGCTGTGAATATGTAACCTGGGTATCCACAGAAACCAAGAAAGTAACAGGGGCCAAGGTGGGAGGAAGGACTAAGATCCGCAATCAACACGTACAGGCAGGCAGACGCTGATGCTGAGAATTCCGTCCAGTATAAGCAGTTCTTTCTATTCCATATATTTGATGATTTGACATCTTCACACCTTACTGACACTAAAGGGACCACTCAGTCCACTGCTAAATGTGAATCCACCTTCCCATTTAGCCTACTAGACCAGAGGCAGTTTTCAAATACTGTTTATTTACCTGCGCTACCATCCCTTACCCTCATCACCTGAGGGCCAGTACTGGACAGTGAACCCTGTGCTTCAGATGACACTGAAATTGCTCAAACCAGGGATTCTAAGCCGTTTACTGGGTCCTTCTGCTTCCCCTTGTGAACTACTAGGGCTCTTGCCCACTTTTGATGCTTGTCCTCCGCCTCTTCGCTGGTTCTAGGAGCTTCTCTGCTGCTTCTCTCCATGGTACATGGCTCCTCCTCTGGGGATCAGTGTTTTCAACAGCAATCATATTCTCACCTGAACAATAATGAAACCTACGCTTTGTAATGGACTTCTAAATAGAACCTGGAGCCCTGGTATGCTCTTGTTCCCTATTTTGCTACATATAAAACTATAACCTAGGAAAAACAAAGTTTTTATAGTGAATTTGGACAATATCTAAAATTATTATTGAGTGACTGGTCCAGAAAAATATCTCCAATACTGTAATAGTGGTATTTTTATCTTGGAGGTAGCCAACAACTGTCTAACTGGACTCAAGACCCACTTGATAGGAGAGAATTTATACTTGGAACTGTGAACCCAGCCAACTGCTTGTAGCTGGAGAGGTCATAGCCCCGAGAAGACTCTACTAGTGTCATTTTCCTAAACAATATAATTTCTAAATGCATACTAAACAATTAGCTTTATACCCACAAATAAATGTGGCTCTTGCCCCTCATCAAAGAAGTTTCTTTTTTTCAACAGGTGGAGTCTATTACAGAGATCCACAACTCCTCAAAATATAGAGAATAAGGGCCTATGGGGTGCTCAAGCCCAAAGGATACATTTATACCATTACCCTTCACCCAAGCCACAGAGGACATTGTGGAAGAGATGCAGGAAAGATTGTAAGAGGCAAAGGACCAGGGGGCCTGCTATTAGATATTGTCTTTACAGGGAAGCTACACCATGAAGTCTCAACAATATGGCTACTTAAACAAGACTTGCATAATGACAAAGTCAGTTTATGTGACAATGTGGATAGGAGAAATTTTACAAGGTTCCATCCTTGATGAAGAGCTCCTGACATCAATGGCTGCTGAGAGACAGAAAATCAGTTTTCTTCAAGGACAAGCTCCCTGATGGGTTAGCCAATCTCCAAAGGTCAATCCTAAACACATGTACATACAGGCAACCCTAAATAGATGCAATAGGTTAATTAAAGAAGTCATGAATTTATCCTTTGTTGACAGGACCCTTTCATTGCTTAGAATATACCACACTTTGCTTTGTGTGGATATCTGTTTAAGTTTTTGAGCTAACAATCTTAGAATTCAAATAGTTGAGTAGTGTGGTAACAAAATGTTCTTTAAAAAAAGAGAGAAAAACAAAAACTGTGAGTCTGCTGAGATGGCTCAGCAGGAAAAGAAGCTTGACACCAAGCCTGACCCCTGAGCTTCAGCCCCAGAACCCACAGGGTACAAGGAGAGAATGTCCTGCACGTTTTCCTCTAACTTCTGCACATACCATGGTGTGGGCACACACACATACATGTATGCACACTCACCCCACCCTCCTTCACCCCCTACACTCACCCACATATTCACTCACCCATTCATCCCACTCACTTACACACTCACCCCCTACACACTCACACACTCACCCCCACACATTCACCCCACACATTCACTCATCCACTCATGCCCACACACTCACTCCACACATAATCACTCACTCACGCTCATACATACTCATCCACTTGGCCTACACACTCACCCCCATACACACCCACTCACCCCACACTCACTCCCACACTCACCCCTATACTCTCACACTCCCACACTCACCTCCTACACACTCATCTAGACACTCAATTATTCACACACACACTTACCCACACACTCACTCGCACACTCAAACATGCACATTTTCACACATACTAACACACAAATATTCCTACACAAATAAATATATGTAATAAAACATTAAAAACACTGTGGGATATTAAAAATTCCTCCTATGACAATTAATCCCTATAATTTTTTTCAAAGAAAGATGGAAATAGTCTAGAATTTCTCAGGTCTTGAAGACAACTCATAATAGATGCTAAAATGATGCTTGACAGCAAGAAAATGAGCCACTAGACAGGCTCATCACAGACTTACCTCAGCAACAATCCTAACATATACATTCGCTGAGTTATTAGTCAATGTTAGTTTATTATCTGTTAGCCACTTTTATGATCTGTTTCATCTTTTTAGGTATAGAGAGAAACAGAGTTCATCTTAGTGACAAAGAATAAAGGTAATGTGGACAGAAACTGAATAAGATAATTGGTCCTTGTATCTCCCCATCTGAGTGAGTCCTAGATGAACTGTCCTTCTCAGGATGCTAAGGAAGGGACAGAAGCTGACTGTGCCAAGGAAGGAGCACACGCACTTCCTTCTCCAGATAGACTGGTGACTGTGGAGGGATGGGGGACAATTGTCACAGGAAATAGTTTGGCAATGAACTGGTCAAACATGATATGATATAATAATACCCATCAGCCTATAAGAACAAAAGGAAAGATAAAACCAAAATCAAGCAAAGGAGGATTTCAGAAATGGAATCATGCCCAAGTGTGCACTATGGGCTACAGTCACAGGAAGGCTACCTTGTCTCCAGTATGCATTACCTGCAGTTGATCAGCTCACAAGTGTAAGAGACACTCTCACGGAAAATCCCACCAGTGTGGACTAAAGCAGGTGTGACGTAATTACTCTGGAAGTAAGCAACTATGTCACTTCATGTACAGGAATTTCAGTGACCTGTTGGTGTGCTACTGGCTGACACCATCGAACTTACTAAGAAGAGGTAGCGTTCTTGTGCTGATGTGTTCCGAGCTGCTAGTTTGAGGATTTGTCCTTCTTTTATTAGTTCATTTGAGGGATTTACAATGTCTTCTTCTTCTCCCAACATCTCATAAATCTCTAAGAGTTTCTTCAGGTTCTCCTGGGAAATTAAAACAAAACACAGCAAGATCAAATATAAGGTAATTTAAATTTAACTAAGATCTATGTAATTTAATAGATATTGAGAGTAAGTTTACATTTTGGTATAAAATACATTAATAAGGTGAATCCTAAAAAAAAGAGGGGAATGGATTAGAAAGTTGGTAAACATCCTTTTCTGCTCACCTTTATCTGTTCATTTTGGTCAAAAATCTATAACAGTCAGAGTCTATGTTACTGACTGCTGTTTAGCCAGAAGGTTCCCAGTCCTCTGAACGCCACTTACCATTTTCCTTATTGCACTATTGGAATGACTTGCTGCTGTAGATATAATTTCAAGTGATTCTGAATGGGAAAAAGAAAAGTAAACAAATGTTTTGTCCATCCTGTGCTACTACAGAAACAGAGATCAAAGACGATGAAAATCTCTAATATGCAGTTTCCATGAGTTATTTGTTAGCAGTTTATCTCCAATTACAGGATATTTACTTCCAAAATGATATATATAATTTAGTATATAATAGGGCTTAGAAATGAACTTGCATTTACAGTGTGCACTACCAGGTTTGAAGTACTTTGCCAATCAGTCTATCTGTTGTGGCTCAAAAATAGCAAATAGAAATTTCCAGGAAAAAAAAATTCCTAAGTTTAAATTTTATTATAGCACACAGTTAAAATCATTCTATTTTATTAAATATTTTTTAATATTTAATTTTAAATCTATAATTTAAAAATTAAACTGTATCATAGATATATGTAGGAAACAATATTGCTGTATGTAAAGTTTGGTACTAGTAACAATTAAAGGAATACACAGAACATTTTGGAAAGTAGCTCCTGAGGAACTTGTCTACTAGTTGGTGAGTTCTTTCATTTCCTTTTGCCACATGATAGAAATAAGGAAGTGATATGGCTTATTCCTAGATCATATGACTCAAACTTCTGATGCTACGGTTTGCCTACTAAACATATACAGCTTTCTTTGGAAAGCACGGCAGTCTGATTCGGTTAGAGTCTGAGGGCTCAGCCTGACAGTGTTGGGAGGAAAAGGAAAGGGTGGAGTGTGATGTGCCCAGGAGCACAACCCATGCCCCCATATCACTAACATTGCAGCCCCAGTTACAGGACAACAGGCAAGACTCCTGCAGGCAGGCCTGACCACCACCATCCACTGGACCCTGTAACCTACAAGCCCTACTCCACCCTGCAAGCCCAACCATCCCCTGAGACTACAGCTGCTCCCTGAGACACAGACTCCACCAGCTCAGATAAGACCAAGAGCTCTGATTAGATCAAGAGCTCCCACTGGACCAAGAGTGCTGATTGGACCAAAAGAGGTTCCCCCAGACATGACATCATTTGTATGGAGTGGAGGAAGAAATAGGTAGATGCCAATGCAAAAATACATTCAACAACATAAAGAGCAATGTGGCACCACCAGAACCTAGTGGTTCTACATCAGTTAGACCTCAACATCCTAACGCAGAAGAAATTGACTTTAAAAATGACTTTAAGAAGATGATAGAGGCCTTTAAGGGGGAAATGAAAAATTCCCTTAAAGAAATCAAGGAAAAGGCAAACAAAAAATTGGAAGAAATCAATCCCTTTTAAAAAGCCAAGAAAACTAAGAGAAAGCAATTAAACAAGTGAAGGAAACAGTTTGAGACTTGAAAACTGAAACAGAGGAAATGAAGACACAAACTGAGGGAATGCTGGAAATGGAAAATATGACTAAATGAACAGAAACTACAAATGCACGCATAACCAACAGAATGCAAGAGATGGAAGAGACTCTCTAGTGCAGAGGATACAATAGAGGAACTAGATTCATCAGTCAAAGAAAACATTAAAGCCAAAAAAGTCATAACACAAAATGTCTAGGAAATTTGGGATACCATGAAAAGACCAAACTTAAGAATAATAAGGATAGAAGAAGAAGAAGAATAGCTCAAAGGCACAGAGAATATATTCAACAAAGTCATAGAGAAAAACTTTCCCAACCTAAAGAAGGAAATGCCTATGAAGATACAAGAAGCTTACAGAACACCAAATAGCCTGGACCTCCCCCCAAAAAAAGTTCTCTTGCCACATAATAATCAAACCACTAAACATACAGAATAAAGAAAAAATATTAAGAGCTGCAGAGGAAAAAGGCCAAGTAATATATAAAGGCAGATCTGTAAGAATAACACCTGACTTCTTAATGGAGACTCTGAAAGCCAGAAGGTCCTGGACAGATGTTATGCAGACACTAAGAGACCATGAATGCTAACCCATACTATTATACCCAGCAAAACTCTGAATTATCATTGATAGAGTAAACAAACTATTCCATGATAAAACCAGATTTAAAAAATACCTATCCACAAATCCAGCCCTATAGAAAGCACTAGAAGGAAAATTCCAACCTAAGGAAGTTAAGATATACCCATGAAAACACAGGCAATAGATAATCCCACACCAACAAATACCAAAGAAGGGAAACACACAACACTGCCACCAAGAAATAACAGGAATTAACAATCACTGGCCATTAATATCCCTTAATATCAATGTGTGGTGATATTGTGTTCCCCAATATATTGTGCATCCTATTAAACTTATCTGGGGTCAGAGAACAGAACAGCTACTAGATAGAGAGGCTGGAAAATGGTGGCACACACACACCTTTAATCCTAGCATTCAGGAAGCAGAAATCTGTCTGGATCTCTGAGTTCAAAGCCACACTGGAAACAGCCAGGCATGGTGACTCACGCCTTTAATCCCAGGAAGTGATGGCAGGAAGCAGAAAGGTATATAAGGTGTGAGGACCAGGAACTAGAGTCTGGTTAAGCTTTTAGGATTTTGAGCAGCAGTTCTGCTGAGATCCATTCGGATGAGGACACAGAGGCTTCCAGTTTGAGGAAACGAGATCAGCTGAGGAATTGGCGAGGTGAGGTTAGCTGTGACTGGTTCTGTTTCTCTGATCTCTCAGCGTTCACCCCAATACCTAGTTCTGGGTTTGTTTTTATTAATAAGACCTTCTAACAATTCATGCTACATCAATGGACTCAATTTGTCTATAAAAAGACACAGGCAAACAGAATGGATATGAAAACAGGATCAGTCCTTCTGCTGCATACAAGAAACACACCTCCACTTCAAAGATAGACACTACCTCAGAATAAAAGGCTGGGAAAAGACTTTCCAATCAAATGGACACAAGAAGCATGCTGGTGTAGTTATCCTGATATCTAACAAAATGAACTTCAAACTAAAATCAATCAAAAGAGACCGGGAAGGACATTACATATTCATCACAGGAAAAACCCACCAATATGAAGTCTCAATTCTGAACATTTATGCCCCAAATACAAGGGCACCCACATTTGTAAAAAAAAAAAACAATAAAGCTTAAATCACACATCAAACCCCATACACTAGTAGTGGGAGACTTCACCCCACTCTCACCAATGGACAGATTGGCCAGACAGAAACTTAACAGAGAAATAAGGGTAGGGGATGAGGGATGAGAACATAAGGGAATAGGATGGTCGAGCTAGTACAGGGACAGAGTGGGAGAGCAATGAAAGAGATACCATGATAGAGGGAGACATCATGGGGATAGGGAGAAACAGGGTGCTAGGGAAGTTCCCAGGAATCTACAAGTATGACCCCACCTTAAGACTACTAGAAATAGTGGAGAGGGTACCTGAACTGGCCTACTCCAGTAATCAGATTGGTAAATACCCTAATTGTCATCATAGAGCCTTCATCTAGTAACTGATGGAAGCAGATGCAGAGATCTACACCCAAGCACCAGGCCCAGCTCCAGGAGTCCAGTTGAAGAGAGAGAAGAGGGATTTTATGGGCAAGGGGCATCAAGATCATGATGGGGAAATGTACAGAGATAGATAACCAAACCAAACTAGTGGAAACTCATGAACTGTGGACCAGTAACTGTGGAGCTTTGATGGGACTGGACTAGACCCTCTCCATAAGCAGACAGTTGTGTAGCTTGACCTGCTTAAGGGGCCCCCTGGTAGTGGGATCAGGAGTCGTTCCTGGTGCATGAGAGGGCTTTTTGGAGCCCAGTGCTTATGGTGGTACACCTTACACAGCCTTGGTGCAGGGGGAGGGGCTTGGACCTGCCTCAACTGAATGGACCAGGCTCTGCTGACTCCCCATGGGAGGCCTTGCCTTGGAGAGATAGAAATTGGAGGTGGGTTGGGGGGAAAGGCTGGGGGTCAGCACGGGAGGAGGAAGGAGAGGGGGATCTGTGGTTGTTATTCAAAATGAAGAGAAAATTTCTTCATAATAAAAAAATGAACCTTTAGATATAGAATGTTGAAGCAGTGCTATACACAGGGTTTGAATTATGCACTTGGCATGTCCTGGTGGCTGTGGCTTGGCAGCTCCACACAAGGATCACCACATCTCTCTATAAGAAATGTCCCTTCCTTGAGGGCTGGTCTGAACCCTGGGGAGAATGGCTGAGGATGGATCCACAGTCCTACTGAGAATGAGCCTGGCTTGGCTCAGTGTATTTTCTGCTTCTGGAGCTGGAAAACTGGGGAGCCGGATGACAACCCACAGAGGAACCAAAAAACCACTCATCTGGGTGCACACTCCTGACTGTCAAGAAGCAATCTGAAGAATTAACCTTCAGTATTTTTGAACCAGACAAGGAAAGCACCAAGAAAAAAACTGCAATGGAAACCAACAGCAAGCAGAAAGAACATGAAGAACGTTTGCAGAAAGTCTGCCAGGCTGGCCGTAGCGTGGCTGCCCTGGGGTGAGCCTTCACTGAGGCAACCTGGTTGCAAGTGACATGCCACTACCAAGCGCTGTCCCCACTTCCCCCAGTATTTCTGTAACGATATTCTCTAACAATATCTTAGGGAGGGATAATGCCAGTATTTCAAAAGTGGATAGTTAACAATTTTTGTTTTCATTTGAAAGTGTCCCCAGCCTGTGCAGCTGGTGCTGTAAATACAGCTTCCAATCCCTTTGTGGCTTTGCCGTGTCGAGTCCTGCACTTAATGGTCAAGAGGAGTGAGGGAGGCAATGTCCTTATGGCAGGATCTGACTTGAGGGGTTTGTCTGCATCCTGACTCTCTGAGCAGGTGATGTGCTCCATGCACTGTGACCTGGTTGATTTATAGGTTGGGCTCTGAAGATCCCCTTGTGTTTTAAAATGTGACTCGTCGTAAGGCAGGGAAGAGGATACGGCCACTTAAAAAGAAGAAGAGCATTTTTACGTGTTTCAGGACCATGTGAGTACAGGCAGTTCTGTGTGTGACGTACAAAATCCAGGCTGGAGTAAAGCAAAATGGCGAAGGCTGGGGCGACGGCCAGGAGAAGGGAAGGAGGAGCTGTAAGACACACTTCCGGTTCACCAGAAGCTCGGCACTGACACCCAGCACTCTGGGGGAAAACCAGAGCGTGGCCTGTAAGCATGGGACAGGAACTATCACAAGTCAAACTATACAAACTTCAGAAGGAGCGAAGAGTGAGAGACGTTTCTGTGGTCACTAAGTCATATGGGAAAACACAGTAGAGATGGCCTGTGCTCTGGATGGGACTTGGATCCTCACCTCAGAGTAACGCTGGCTTAAGAAAAGTCAAAAACATGCAGGAAGAGCATGTTTTAAAGACTATACTATATTATTAGCACTGGCCAAATATTGAACCATGACTATTTCTTAATTTTTACTCATCCCTTTAATTTTTTAGAGGTTTAAAAAAACCATATTAAAGGGGAGGTAAAACATGGCTTTTTTGTCTGTTTGTTTGGTTTAGTTAGACAGGGCCTCATTACTTAGCCCTGGCTAGCCTAAAACTCACAGAGATCCACCTGCCTTTGCCTCTGTAGCACTGAGATTTAAAGCCACTACATATGGTGCACCATGTACATATTAGAATGTGATGTGCAAATCTCTGAGCTCAATCTCTAATATCACAAAAATTTTAAACTGCATGAGAAGCTAAAGAATTAATGAAACTCACTACTTAGTCTTAAAAATTCTTCATTCTAATCTAATGAAATAATTAAGATGACCAGCACAATTGGAATAAAGTTTTTTTGGAGGAAAATGTTACTAGACAATAAAGCACCTCATGTCCTGTGTGTCTCAGGAGTAAGGCTAACAGTTATATTTACACAGTAATTGTCTTCTTTGCTTTCTTGGCAGGCACCAGCAGCACCCATGAGAAGGTAACTACATCACTACTCCAAACACCGCTAAGCCTATGGTTTTAGATCTCACAGTTAGTGATTGACATGTATCCAGAATGGGAAGCATGATTGCATTTCTCTAAGCCATTGTGATCCTGACTTAAAGTGGCTTGCTTCATTAAGGTGCTGACAATGATGTCCAGGGTGATGACGTAAGACACATCATTGGAACCAAAGGGCTGTTTGGCTATATCATTCTGCTGCTGTTGAGGGAGAATAAAACCATTTACTTTTCGCATCATTCCAGTCTGGGGACTCAGGGGACAGCTTCTTCAGGTAGTCCTTAAGGAGCATCTCATAGCGAGGGATCCGCTGAATAGGCTCCAGCATGTGATGCTGCAGGGTTAAGCTTCCACAGATCTTCTGTTTCTGTAATCAGCAAGATTTTTATTTTTAAATATTTTAATTACATTTATTTATTTATTGTATGTGCATGTGAGTATGGAGGTCAGAGGACAATCTGCAGTTCTCTCTTTGTACCATATGGGTCTGGGGAACAAAGTCAGGCCATCAGGTTTGGTGGCAAGTCACTCACTGAGCCCTATAATCATGGTTTTTAAAGGAATATTTAAAAATTAAGTTAACCAATATAAAACCACAGTGTAATAAAGAACTTTCACCAAGGGCAGTATTTTCTATCAAATATAGTGCATTACACAACTGGGGTGCTTGGGAAAGTTCAGGTTTCTGAGTGCCCACCCTCCACCCCAGTCTATGAAATCCAATGCTGGGAGAAGCCAGAGACTATGCATTTAAGATATCCCATCATATCGCTGCCCATATGACACAGAGATACTGAGCTTCCCTTCAATGTCACCTTCCATTCTGACTACTCCAAGGTTGTTTGCCAAGGACAATGACCTCTTCCTGTCCCTCTGTCTCTCTTTGGGACTCACCAGAACCTTAAGCCTGGGACCCTTTAGCCTGCCCACTTGACACAGAGACACAGGTAGGCTACCTGCACTCAGGTTCACAGCCCTACTCCAGTCTGACAGGCCCGGGACTGCCTGCCAGAGTTCTCATCTCCTCTGGCCTGTCTCTCTCCCTTTGGGACTTATAAGTTCTCAGCCTGCTCTCCACATGGGACTCTGTAGCCAGCATATATGGCTAGAAGACCCAGGCTACTTCCTCCTTTCTGCCAGCTGCCTGACTGGAACCTTCCAGTTGCCATATCCAGTCTTGAGACCCAGGAACAGTCTATATTACCAGGGGACCTTGTTACAGGATCCTTGTTCCCAAACCACTAAAGGGACCAGACTATACCTGATAAACAGAGACCTGGGATAGAAGGATGTAGCCCTAACTACTAGACAAATAAAAGAAATTGACACCTCAACTCCGCCATAAACATTATAAATATCCCCAAAGAAAGAAGAAAGGTGATTTGAACAAAAAGAAAAAAAAAACTCAACCAACAAACTAACTCTAGATGCACAAATCTCAACACATAAATGAAAACAATAATAACCTCCCCACACACAACCAAAAAAAAATCAAAAAACAAAATAATACATCTCCTTCCCCAAATATAAATCTCATAATAATGACCCTGTTACAAAGTCAGGGAAGAACTTTCAAAGAATTCAAAAGAATGATTACAATTATGATCAAACAGCTTAAAAAAGATAAGGACAAAGAGATGAATGTAATAAAAGAGTAAATCCAAAACATGAAAGTAGTTTGAATTTTTAAAGAAAACTGAACTGAAATGATACTGAAAATGAAAAACTCTTGGAGTTTATTTTGGCTTGATTTCAGAAGATTAAGCAAAGAGTTGTGGTGGCTAGAAATTAAAGTAACCAAAAGCCTGAAGCAGCCGGGCAGTGGTGGCGCACGCCTTTAATCCCAGCACTCGCGAGGCAGAGCTAGGCAGATCTCTGTGAGTTCGAGGCCAGCCTGGGCTACCAAGTGAGCTCCAGGAAAGGCGCAAGGCTACGCAGAGAAACCCTGTCTCGGGGGAAAAAAAAAAAAAAAGCCTGAAGCAGAGGGGACTAACTGGAAGCATGGTGAAACTACACTTCCTGTGACATACTTCTTCCAGTAAGGCTAGACCACCTAGACCATCCACAAACAGAGCCACCAACTAGGAACCCAGTGTTGAAATACATGAAATCTGGGAAACACTCTTCATTCTAACTATCACAAATATTGAAATACTGAATGAAGAAAAATCACTGAAAGGTGGAAGAGAAAAAGATGAAGTCACTTATAAGAACAGGCCTATGAGAACAAACCTGATTATCTGGCAGAAATCTTTGAATCCAGAACACATCTGGAAAGACCACAACTGCCAACCATGGTTGTTAAAATTTAGATGAAGTGAAAACTTTCCATGATGAAAACAGATTAAAAGAACTTATGACTAGTAATATCATAATACAGAGGCTACTAGAAGGAATATTATGACTAGTAAGAACATACTACAGAGGCCACTAGAAGGAATATATCAATCTGAAAGAAGTATGAACATGTCCAAGGGAACATGCCAGGTCAAACAATCAAAAGAGATCCATGAAAACATTACTAAGTCAATAAAACAAGAGGAATTAATACACACTATTCAACAATTACTTTGAATATTAGTGGTCCAAATTCCTCAATAAAAAGATCCAGATTAAAAGACTGGATCAGAAAAGGGTCCATTCTTTTGCTACTTCTCAGATACATAACTCATTGTCAATGATAAGACACAACCTTAGGGTAAAGGATGGAAAAACATATCCCAGGGGATTACACGAAGAAACAGCAGGCATAGATAGTCTAATATCAACAAAATAAACTTCAAAGCAAAACTAGTCAGAAGGGAGAGGGAGGAACACTTCATACTCCTAAAAAAATATATCAGTAAAATATTATAGTGGTAAATATATACTCACCCAACACAGGGGCACCTGATTTAAAAAAGAAACACTGTTAAAATGAAAACCACAGACTGACACAACACAGTGACAGTCATTGACTTCAACACTCCACTCTCAGCAATACAGCCAACATCTTGCTAAATGGAGAAAAACTCAAAGCATTTCCACTAAAATCAGGAACAAGAAAAAGATGTCCCTTCTCCCCATCCTGTTCAATACAGTACTTGAAGTCTTAGCTAGTTCAACAATACAAGTGAAGGAGATCCTGTTGTGGATATCACTCTGTATAAATAAAACACTGATTGGCCAGCAGCCAGACAGGAAGTATAGGTGGGACTAACAGAGAGGAGAATTGAGGGAACAGGAAGGGAAGGGGGAGACTGCCTGTAGCCGCCACCAGGACAAGGAAGATGTAAGGTACCAGTAAGCCTCGAGCCATGTAGCAAAGTATAGATTAATAGAAATGGGCTAAATATAAGAGTAAGAGCTAGATAATGATAGGCCTGAGCTAATGGCCAAGCAGTTTAAATAATATAAGAGTCGGTGTGTTTATTTTATAATTGGGCTCCGGGACTGGCGGGGATTGGCAGGAGCTGGAGAGAAATTCTCCAGCTACAAGATCCATTTGGAAAGGGATAAGTTAAATTATCACTATTTGCAGATGATATGATTCTATATACAAAGACCTTAAAGACTCCATCAGAAAATTCCACATATCTGATAAACACATTCAGCAAAGTAGCAGGACACAAAATCAATACACAGAAATCAGTAGCCTTCCTAAAAACAAATAATATCTTAAGGCACTGAACAAGAAACTGAAGATACCAGAAGATATAAAGACCTCCCATGCTCATGAATTGGTAAGATTCATATTGTGAAAATGGATATTCTAAAAAGTAATCTAAAGATTCAGTATAATCAAAATTCCAAACAACTAGTTACAGAAAATGAAAAAACAAACAAACCAATCTTGTGTTTCATATGGAAATATAAATGATAAGCCCAGTCAAAACAATCCTGAAAAATAAAATAAAATCTGCTGGAGGTATCACCATTCTAGATTTCAAGTTATACTTCAGAACTATAGTAATAAAAGGATCAGGGTGTTGGTATAAAAACAAAATCATTGATCAATGTGGACTCACAGATAAGTCCATATTCCTTCAGCCATCTGAATTTTGACAAAGAGGTCAATAATATATATAGAAGAAAAAACAGCATCTTCAATGACTGATGTTCTTTGAACTGGCTACAGGAGACCCTCAACCTGCACAAAACTCAGCTTCATGTGGATCAAAGACATCAGCATAAGACCTGAAACCTGAATCTACAGAGGAGAAAATAGGTATTATGTTTGAACTCATTGGCACAGGAAAGGGCCTTCTGAACAGGACCTGGACAGCATAGACATTAAGACCAACAATTAATAAATGGAATCTCATGAAACTAAAAGGCTTCTGCACAGCAGAGGATACAATCATTCAATTGAAGAGGCAGCCTGCAGAATGGCAGAAAATATTTACATTTGATAAGCTAGACTATACAAAGAATTAAAAAAAAAAACCTAAACAACCCAACTAAAAATGGGGTATGAAACTAAATAACAATTTCTCAAAAGATGAAATACAAATGGCTAAGTTAGATTAACAAACAATCAAAAAGTTCTACATTCTTAGCCAATCAGAGAAATGAAAATCAAAGCTACCCTGAGATTTCCTCTTACTTTAGTCTAAATGGCTAAGATTCAAAAGTAGATGATGAAATTCAAAAATACATCGTGACAAATGGTTTGCATGATGAGAGGAAAATGGAACACTACCACTGCTGAAAGAGTACAAATGCTGCGGCCACCGTGGAAACCAGTGTGGAGGTAATCAAAGACCCAGAAACAGACCTACCACATGATCCAGTATATCACTCCTGGGCATTAACCCAAAGGATTCTTATAACAGAGATACCTGCTCATTACAGCAGACATGTCCATCAACTGATGAATGAATAGCAAAGAGTGGTATGTTTATACAATGCAATACTATTCATCTGTTCAAGATCAAATTTACAAAACTTGTAGGTAAGTGAATCTATCATTCTGAGTAAGGTAATTCAGACCCAGAAAGGCAAATGATGCATGTTTTCTCTCATTTCTGGATGTTAGCTGTGAACATTTAGCTCTCTCTCTCTCTGGCTTGAAAGTGTGTAGCCCTGTGAATGTTACCCACAGTCCCTGTGAGCTCATATGTCAGTCCTGTTGTGTCTCAGAGACACTGTTTCCTTCATGTTATCCTTCCCCTCTAAATCTTACAATCTTTCCTCCTCTTCTTCCACATAGGTCCCTGAACCCTGAGGGAAGAGGTGTGATGAAGACATCCCGCTTAGTACTGAGATCTCTCACTTTCTGCACACTGTCCAGTTTTGGGTCTCTGTGTTAGTTCCCATCTACAGCAAGAGGAAGTTTCTCCGGTGTTGGCTGAACAAGGCAATGATATATGTCATTTGCACTCATTTTATTACTATGTTCCCTTAGCATAAGAATAGTATTTGGTTTTCTCCTAGGCCCATGGCCTATCTAGTTCCAGGTTCTTAGCCAGCCAATCAGTATAAGGCAGGGTTTGCATCTCATGGAGTGGGCCTTAAATCCAATCAGAGAGTTATAGTTGCTCCCACGATGTTTGTCCAGTGTAACATGTAGGCAGGTCGCGGTTATAAATTGCAGGGTTTGGAGCTGGGCTGTTGTTTACCTTTCTCTTCTAGTAGCATGTGTTGTAACTTATAGCACCATGAACAGTAGTTTGTAGGGGTGGAGGCTCTAGTTAGGTACCAGCTAAACGTCTTTGTGTTCAATGACATATATAAGTACAACAGCCTGATTGTTTAAGGGTTTCCCTGGGAACCTTTGACCAAGAACCAAACTGTATGTAACTCATTTCTGGCACTAGAGGTTCCACTTGATGGTAAAAGAACTGGACAGAGGGAGGTGATTTTACCCTCCCTCCTGCATTACCATCCCCCCAGGATCACCAACAGCACTGTAACAACATGCTTGCAGCTGCCCTCCTGCCACATCAACTCCATGCACTGGAGACCCCAACTCTTGGCTCAGACCTAGAGTCCTAAAGCCCTTCGTCCCTGTCTCTCCAGATTATTCTTTGTCTACTGCAGCCTACTTCCAACTTTCTGGGGACCCTGCCTCTTGGTGTGGGTCCCCTCAACCCCTCAGTCTTCTCTCTTAGACCATCCCTATTCCTCTCTGCCACACACTGACCTGTAGCAGTACTGTCTACCAGGCAACCCACAGCCACCATACTTTTCTAAGATCCAGAAAGGGGAACAGAAACCAAGGAATTGAACACCTACCCAACAAAGACAAGAGCACCCAGATTCACTGCAGTCACCTTAATCTCCAATGCCTAGACACCAGCATAAAAGCACAATCCAGGACAATATGCTTTCACCAGCAGAAATTAATGGCTTAATGATGCAACTCAAAAAGGTAAAACAAGAACAAACTAAATCCAAACCAAGTCCATGGTAAAAAATAATAAAATCAGAACAGAAATCAATTAAGTAGAAACAATGAAAAAAATACAAAGAATCAATAAACATAAGAGCTCATTCTTTGAGAAAGATACAGAAAATTGACAGACCCTTCACCCAAGTAACCAGAAATGAAAAACAAAAACAAAAACAAAACAAAACATTAAGCTCCACAATTTCATAATAGCTGTCCTAAATGTACTGAAGTTTACTGAGATTTATAGACTTTGTGTTTGGTTAATTTTCATATATGACACTTATTTTATTTACAAGTATTTTTCATAATAAAGCTTATAAAATTAAATAAATACATATATGTATTTATAGTCTTTATATTATCTCTTAATTTAAAAAATACGGGACACTGTAAAAAATAATTATAGCCTTGTAGTATTGGGTTATAATTGAAAAACACATAAAATTGTAGTTTTAGATATTGTCCTGGTTGGTTTTTTGGTCAACTTGACATAAGTTAGAGATATCTGAGAAGAGGGAACCACAACCAAGAAAATGCCCTCAGCAGATCTGCCTGTAGACAAGTCTATAAGGCATTTTCTTCATTAACGATTGATGTGGGAGGGCTTGGAGGGCTCAGGCCACTGTGGGTGGTGCCACCCCTGGGTAGTTGGTCCTGAGATCTGTAAGAAAGCAGGCAGCATGATATGGAGAACAAGTTAGTAAACAGGGTTCCTCCATGGCTTCTGCTTCAGTTCCTGTCTTCATGTTCTTCCTTTCTTCAGTTCCTGTCCTGACTTCCCTCAGTGATGTGAAGGCACTTGAAAGCTATAAGATGAAATAAACCCTTTCCTCCCCTAGCTGCTTATGGTCATGGTGCTTTATCACAGCAATAGAAAGCCTTACCAAGACAAATATAAATGACATGAAGAGAACAGAGCACAGATGTGGTGATATTTATTTCTATGTTAATAAATAAAGCATGGCTGGAGATCAAGGGGGGAAAGGCCAGCCATTTTTAAGTAAACATAGAAGTTAGACAGTGGTAGCACACACCCTTAATCTGATCATGTGGCAGGCAAGGTCTCTGTGTGTTCAAGGCCACACTAGGAAACAGCCAAGCATGGTGACACACACCTTTAATCCCAGTATGAACCATTGAGACCTGGAGGTCTGTATAGACAGGCAGTGATAAGGATGTGAGGTAGCTGGGCTGAGAGCCAATGAGAGGGCAGAACAGCAAGGCAAAAAAGGCGCACATAGACAGGAAGTAAGTCACCCTTTTGATAGCTGCAGAGCTGGAGAGGTAAGATTGGTGGCTCTCACTATTTCCCTGATCTCTAAGGCTTTCACCCCTATATTTGGCTCTGTGTTCCTTATTTAATAAGACCATTAAAAATTCATCTACACACAGAGTAGGGAGGAATGCTTTACAGAAATCACATATTTCACTAAGATTAATGTTAGCATAATCTGAAGCTGGCTAGAAAAAAATAAGGTGCATGTTATTATCCTAAGAGCAATTAATAAAAAAGTTCAAAATTATTTAAAAATAAAAGGAATCAAAATAGTACTGTAAAATCTATTTGTAGCTGGAGAATTTCTCTCCAGCTCCTGCCACCAAGTCCCGCCAGTCCTGGAACCCACTTATAAAATAAACAGACTCTTACATAAGATTCTAAAATGAAGCTAAAAACAGTTCCTAGTTGTCTCTTTCAAGTTAGCGGCAGCCTGCATGTTTGAGCTACTATGGCGGGTTTCTGGCGTGTGCGCTCGACCTGCAGTGTGGCGGGAATGAGACCTCTGCAAGTGGCACATTAAGCTGTGTGGTGGATTTAGCCTTTGCTAATACAAAACAAAAAGAGGTTTCTGGGCTACATGCTACTTTGATAAAAGCATGGACCCACTATTTCTGAGACTTAATGACTCCCAGAGCTGGCGGAAAACGTACCACTGCCATGTTGGGAAGCTGAAGTGGGCGGAGCCAGCAGCCACAGCGCCATTTCACTCTTAGAATGCTGCAGTTTAAAGCAATAGGCTCAAGGTAATATAAAAAATAAGCCATGTAAAGATGGCTACCACACAGAGAATCTGGATTATGTTCTCTTTGATATTCGTAACTGAAGAAAAACATTTGATTGCAAAAGCTGTTGAGTTATGCCAAAATGTTTATTTTAAAGGAGAGGGAATAGCGGGACAGAGGTAATATGAGGGAGAAATGGGAAAATGGGAGGGGGGTTTAATTGGAGAGAGTGGAAGGATACCAATAGAAAAGGAGAGGAGAGACAAATAATACTAAGGATGTTTTGAAAACTTGTAAGAAATTATATCATTTTGTATTTTTCTAAAATTATATGTAATATATATATATATACATGAATAATATATGTGTATAGTCTTAATGAAGTTGTGACATAGAGTGATAATGCTCCTTGCAAGAGCCACACACTATTGAACAATGCCTCCAGTATCAGGCATGAGAAACCTCCTTTTGAGTTGTAGGTTGTGAGTCCAAGAGACTCCCAAACTTTATATGGACTATTGCTGTTGCTGTTGCTTGCTTTCTAGAATTTGAGAGTAGGTCCTTATTGCAGAATATGCCACACTTCAGACACAGAACTCTGGGGAATCAAGATGGATCTGACCTAATGGCCTCCCCACTGTGGACTAGCCTCCGTGGTACTACGCTGGTACTACACGGTACACTGTGGAGTAGCCCACGTGCTTTGCAATCTGGTGGGGGCGGGGTAGCACTCAATCATCCTTTCCAGGTGTGATACCTATGAACCACAAAACTGACCAGCATGGTAAGATGTCCTTAGAAGTCCAGTAGAGGTGACCATATCTTAAAGGTAACTGATAGCTGTCTAATTGGACCCGAGGTCTAATTAGCAGGAGGAAATGTAGGCAAGCACTCATGGCTAGTGCTGTCAGGAATGTCTTGGAGGAGAACTTATTATTGCCACTTATTAAAGCAGCCCAAATCTTAACTGCATTCTGAATACCTATCCTTATAACCTTACGTAAGTGTAGCTCTCTGCCGTGATCAAGGAAGCTTCTCTTTGTAGCAGCTGGAAACAGAACCGGCCGTAGGGGCCCCAGCCTCAGTGGATATATCTACAGCACAACCTCTTAGCTACGGCTAAGGGAACATCACCAAGAGGGAGTGGGATAACTGTATAGGCCAGAGGGCCACAAAGTCTTCTGGAAGACTGAGTCTCCTAGAAATGTCAGGGATGCTTCATCTGTGAAACCTCAACAACATGCCTGCCTAAACAAGACTTGAACAATAGGTATGCTAAAGTGGACGGAGGTAATTTCATGGAGCCCGCTTCTAGGTGAAGAACTATAGGTAATTAATGACTGCTGAGAGAGGGAGATTTGGTCTTCCCCAGGGATGAGCCCCATAATTGTTTTTTCAGTACCAAATGGTCAGCCCTGAAAACATATGTAGACAAGTAACACTTGATGAACTGAGCAGGGTGTGTGTGTGTGTAGTGTACGTACATGTGTCCATGTGTGTGTATGCATTTATATATATGTAATAATAACAATTAAGGAAGTGGCAATGGATTTGAGAGGGAGTAAAGAGGGACAGACAAGGAGAGGGGAAATGCTCTAGGTATATTTTAAATAAAACGTTTAAAAGCAATGCACACTGAGCATTTTCTCCCACTTACTAGGTGGCATGGGCTCAGTAACTAACTGATTTAATTGTGCAGATACCATTTTTGCAGAATTTAGAGGAGAGTAAATTTTGGCTAAGTTTCTCAGAAAAATACTTTCATCTCAATTTTAGATCTTGAAGGCCATATAATTATTATCATGATTCTCAGAAAAATTTAACTGTGACCAGGAAAGAAAGTGACCTCTTACCTGAATCTCTTCAGTCACTGATTTGAACTGGGGAACACGCTCTGTCATGTTTTTAACTAGTTCCACCGCATTATCAAATCCTTTTACATATTCTCCGTACATCTTAAGGAATGGCGCCAACTTTTGCAGGATATCTCCAATTCTGGGAGTAGTTTCCCTGTATTGAATATAAAAACATCATTCAAGTTTCTTATAGAATGAGGAAATCACTAGGCCTGCAGAGAGAGTAGGCACTCCATACGATCTGCTCTCCATACGCACTTTGCTCTAACACTAACAAGAAATAGCTTTCAGAGGGGAGCTTAGGAATTGCAGAAGAGGCTACGCAGCTCTTGGAGCTGCCAATCACACCAGCCTCGTCTCCACTAGTCAGAACACCATTTAGAGAACAGACGCCAGAGCCTATTCCAAAATCCCAAGAATAGCATCCAGCATCGACCAGTCGCTTCTAGGTAAAGACCTGGCACTATACTAATTGTAGCAGTGTGTGGTGCATCTGCGCTACTTTAAAAGTTGAAAAGCAGCATCCTGCATGCATGTCTTAGCACGGCAGCCCGCGTCTCCATCTTACCATTCTTGCATTCGCTTCTCCAGCTCTGGTAATAGAAATTTACTGTGGAAGGCATTTATTGATGAAATGTTAGAAAAGATTTTATTCACCATCTCTGCAGGAAATGAGCCTCGGTTTGCTTCTTCTAATAGTTTGCAATAAAATACCTGAATAAAAGAATAAAGCAAATATCACTTTAGATACGTTGGTTAATCAATTTTCACTGTGGTAGACCTGCACTGGGCAAAACCCAGTTGTTGAATAAATGGGGAAGCTTGTGGCTTAAGAAATCAATCACTTGAAGTGTAGGAGGAAATATGTTTTGATTTTTGAAGAATTTTAAATGTGACTTAGGAAGAGTTGTTTACAACTAAAACTATGCCCCTACCTATATGGTATTTATTTAACTTGTACCGGATGTTAAGGTACATAGCTAATAGAGCTTTTCTGTGCCAAAGAATTTCCAACTGACAGGGATTTACACTTCTCACCTATGGCTATAATTAAGGGACGTGAAAAGATTTGATTATGTGTACAGTGTGATAGTTTTCACTTACTATGCTTGAATGACGTCTATAGCAATTATACATTGTCCTTGCTGTGTGTAGTGGTTAGTGTTAACTGTCAGCTTGTCATGGGGCTCTGAACATGTTTGTGGGCAATCATCTCCATTGCAGTAACTGAGAAAAGCAACGCGCCCACAGGGGTAGTAGCATTTTCTGGCGGGGATCTTGGAATCAGTGGGGAGGGTGCTGAGCGACACTGTACACCGGCGCCCGCACTGCACGCCGGCACCAGCACTGCACACCGGCGCCCGCACTGCACACCGGCGCCCGCACTGCACACCAGCGCCAGCTCTCTGCTTCCTGACTCTGATACAGTGTCACTAGTTTCGTCAAGCTCCCGTCCTCTTGACCTGCCCGGCACTGTGGCTGTGCCCTGGCCTTGAACTGTGAGTCAAAACAACCCTTCCCTTCTTGGTTTGTTTCTGTCAGGGTTTGTATCATAGCAACAAAGACGTAACTAAGGTGCAGTGGTTGGCCGATAGTTCTCACTTCCTATTATACTCTGTATCTTGAAAGTTCCCATAGTAGAACAGCTTAACATCTGGACCATGAGAGAACAACAAAACAACAGAAACAAAATCCTTTTTGTTCTCAGATTTTAATTTGTTTTTAAATAAATAATAATCCATGTTAACTTGAACACTTCTCTGTGTGTGCAGGGATCTTCTGTACATTGTAACATGTACTGCAAAGATAACTGGCAAAACAAAACATCTTGAACTTGCCTAGAAGAAAAGACTTCTATCCACCATGGGAGCACTTACTCAATCCAAGACTGTATTTCTCATATGGAAGAAAAGCTATCTTAAAGGCTCAAATTCCACAGGGATTGATTCTGTCTCATTGTCAAGTTCCTTGACACTGATAATCTGAATTACAACTTCACTGTTTCACAGAATACTATTTTAAAGAGGTTTCACAAAATCTATACAATCCATATGGTTGACCTTGAGAACCAAAGATAAGGTGTGTCTAGGACCATGTGTTTTAGGAGGCCATGTTAACAACTAAAATTTAAATAGGTTATTGGTGGTTACTTCAGTGACATATTAAGACAGATGAGTCACTGAAGTAACCACCAATAACCTATTTAAATTTTAGTCGTTAACATGGCCTCCTAAAACACAGTAAATGGTCAAGAAAGAAGAACAATGTTTGACATTATGGAACAGCCATTCTGTGACTTATAGATACATAGAAACCTATACTCACGACTTGCAAATATTTTGTATTCAGCAAATTTACCAATGAGGCTGTGAACACTTCCTTAAAGCAAGTAACTTTCACTATCCAAAGCAGTCAGGCCTGCACTGCAGTTCCTGAAATGCTTTGGTTCCTAGGGTAGATGATGGATAACCACAAACCGTTACCTGATCTAAGAGGTTGAGCCGGCTGACATACGCTCTTTCGGTGAGCAAAAGTTCACTGGCTATTTTGTGAAGTTTCTGTTCATTAGTCTCCTAAAAAAAAAAAAAATCAAACAGATATTTGCATATAAGAAAAGGAACCCAGACATTTTCCTTCAGGAACAAACACCTAATGAGAAAGCTCATTCAAAGCAGTTTTCCCCAATGTTTCAAGAATATCCAAGCAAAGTAGTGATCTGTCGTGAAGGGAACTGCTGTGACGTCTGTGCCTGGCGACACTGCTAATACCCTTTTTCTCAGAACATTATCTTTCCCGGTGCCCAGTACCATACTTTCTTCACTCTTACCTTCTTCTTACATACGGTACCACATTATCTTATTATCAACTCTATGTAAGTAACAATTTGCATTTAAAATATATTGTATGAAATATGTGATCATAAATATTAATAGACAAAACAGTAAAATGCATTACCATGTGTCCAAAGCTAAGGTACAACTATCAATTTATCTCGGTCTTGTTTCAGTTATGCCTCCTCTCACTTCTCTCATACTATTTTTTTCCTTTGAGACAGGGTCTCATTGTGTAGTCCTGGCTGGCTTAGAACTAGCTTTGTAGATCACGATGATCACGAACTCACAGGGATCTTCCTGTCTACTTCCCAAGTGCTGGGACTAAGGTATGCACCACTACATCCAGCTCTCATACTATCTTTAATTAAATCTAATTTTTACTGCTTCCTCCTTAAATAAATATTTTTATTTAACCTAATAAAATAAATTTATTTGTATAATCTTGCTAGTTTCATGATGATAGGAATGTTTTTTTCTTGTTAGGTCTCTAACTCCTTTAATTAACTACAGTGCTTCACTGGAAATTCCAGCACTCAATCAAATATTGCAGATCAAATGAGTAGTTAGCTTACGTATAACTACTATTTTGCATTTATTGTGACTTTGACAAGATGTCAGAGTTATGTTTTTCAAGAACTTCTGCCTGATGATCAAACTATAAACTCTCCCATTCTGGCACCACCCCTTTTTAGCTATCTGGCTATGGTCCATGAAATATGGACAACCAAGTCCTATGAACGATCATACCTGAAAACATACATACATTAAAAGGCATGAACGAGTCATATTTAGGAATGTATATTTATAGACCTATACATACATGCATGCAATAACAGTTAGTGAACAAAGACCATGAATCTGAAGGAAAGTGGGGAGGGATATAGAGGGGGGGTAGGGGGAGGCGAAAAGGGAAGACACAATGTAATTTTATTAGAATCTCAAATATAAAATAAAACACATGAAGTTTTAAACATTAATCCTCTAAGTTTTCCTCATTGCCACCCTGTTCTGAAACTCTCATGTCAAGCTCAGGCCAATCCTTGGAATCCAGCGTCTTTTGTCTGTAACATTTATTGCTGTGTGAGGAATCTCTCTAAAACTGTTTTTACACATATAAATACACTTCAGAGGAAGAAACAGAAACACATTATCCTTTCTATCCACAAGAAATGCTGGCCAGCATTAACACGAGACTTTAAGTCAGACCCACTGAGGCCCGATCTTCTGACAGTAAAGCACACTCTGTGGAGTTTGGAGAAACTCATATCAGCATGTAAACACCACCACACTCACAGCACAGGATATTCCCATCATGACTAATTCTACTTTGCGCCTGCTGTTAAAACTCTTCTCCACTTCTGGGCTCTTCATCCAGCTTGGAGACCACGGATCTACAGTCTTCCAGAACATCAGAGGAAGTGGAGTCATCCTAACTTTGATATTCTGCTGGTCATTTAGCTAGATGCCTTTGTGACAAATCCATGTTCCTTCTCCTGTCAGTTTTTTTTTTTTCATTTTATCTCTTAGTGATGATGTACCTTTTTGACTTAAGTTCTTTGATATGGTTTACATCTAGATCTGACAATATTTTTTACGTATGTGTATGTAGTATGTATGTACAAGTGTATAAACTTGTGTGTGAAGGCCTGAGCTTGATGTTGGGAATTGTTCTCAGTCCACCTCCCAATCAGACCTAGAGTACATCGATAGGGCTGCCCCCCCCCCCCCCCCCCATCCAGCTTGCTCCGGGGACCATATCTGTATCCGTCTCCCTGAGTCTGGGATTACAGGTGGTCACCACATCCACTGTGTCTGGGGATCTCAACTCTACTCTCCTGCTTGTTCAGCAAGTGTTTTAACCACCGAGTCATTTCTCCAGGCCCCTGACATTATTTTAAAAATAATTCAGCAGATTTATTTTGTTATAATAAAGCACTTCTCATTGGCCATAAAATATGCTGACAGATTACACTATTTATTATTGACACGGAGTGAGGTCACAGATCTGTAGGGTCTTGAATAGGATGATTAGAAGAAACAATGTTTTGCTGACTGCAAAGTGCCTGAGCTGAACCTGGCCAAGTACAAACATGCGTCATACTCTGCAGAACCCAAGGGGTGGCAGCAGTACTCAGCAAAGGCTTGGCTCACCTCGCCCAGACCTTGCTCTCTATGTGGCTGTCCTGAACTTGCCATGTATACCAAGTCTGCAGTGAACTCAAACAGATCTGCCAGCCTCTGACTTCAGAGTGCTGGAATTAAAGGTGTGTGTCAGCATGCCTAGTCTTTGACTCATTTTTTTAAGCTACAAAACATGTGTAATTTTTATTCTTGCTTTGCACACAACAAAAATGCTGAGTTGAAGATGGCTCGGTTGCACAGTTACAAAATTGGCACAGCCATATCTGAATGGAATGGCAGAAGTCATAAAGCCAGCACAGCTGCTTGACAAAGACCCAGCAAAGCTGAGCCACATGATGGCTGCCATGCCACCTTTGGTTTTCATCTCCACCTGTTATATACTTGGGGCACTTTTAATATTTGTACAATTTGAGGATGTTGGATTGATGGAAAATTCCTTATGAATCATTTATGCCTTCTCCCAGGAATGCTGCTTCTAAGCTTACCCAGAAAAGTCCTGAACATACTATTCCCCCCGCCCCCCCACACTTTGAGGGAGATATCCTTATCTACTTGAAGGTCTTCCTTACACCTTGGAGGTTGTGACACATAAAGAAACCAGAGGTCTCTTCATGAGGCTATGAGACATTCTTGAAACATCTCTCCCTGCACTTACACTGGAACAAGATAGTCAAAACAAAGTAAATTTAAAAAGGTCAACAAGATTCGGTGGGCTAGAGGAATTGTCCACAATTCAGATTATAAGCCTCTTCCCACTGTACACTCAGACAATTATGTGGCATACAACTCTGCCCTATATAGGGACATACTGATGAGCAAAGTATGGAGTAGAAAGATGATAAAAGTATGAGGTGTTAGGACCTCCCTCTCTTAGAAGTTAGCTCATGTAGAGCCACTATGATGTCATATGACCAAGGAACAACAGAATGCCAGGATTAGACATATAGACAAATTCTATAAAGATATAAATGCGAACATTGATTGTATTATGCCAGAATTTGAATAATAACTGTAGCAGCTTTAGCCTGAGGATTTTTCCTGGGCACTCTGACCACTAAGAGTTAGTAATACATTGCTTGAGATATAGCAAAATGCCCAGGGTGGTTGAAGATTTTGTTTTGGTCTAGTGTCCTTGAAGCAACCAAAACAACCAGCCTGAGCACAGGCTGTCATATGCCTCTAGAGTCTCAAAAATTGGGTTATGGGGTTTATGAGTAAGAATGATAACTCTGTTTATTAATGATGTCAAAACTTGAGGGGAAATGACTGGAAATGATAACTCTGTTCTGTCATAGTTTATTAATGATGACTAAAAGATGAGCAAAAGGAAGTGAAACACATGTCCCAAACCAAAAATGATATGATCTATATTTTGGAACATCATGAATGTATCCTTGCTAACTATGTTCTGTATAAATAAAGAAACACTCTGGCTGCTAGTCAGTCAGGCTGCAAGATTCTCCTGACCACCATGGCATGGCTCACTTCCTTCTCCACCGACTCCATACATCCTCTGCAGGACCCATCCACCACCAGGGATGGCTCTTGGCACAAAGTCACTATATCAGTTCCAGTCATAAAGAATTTTAAGTAACTATTATATAGTTTAAATAGTTTCCTCTTATCATTCTATGCAACAAAAAATAAGACTTTGACATAAAGAACACAGATACATATTGTCTACTAACAAAACTTGCTTTAACACAGAATGTTATAGCTATGGTGCATTTTAATATATATTTTATTTTTCCCAAAGAAATTCCAGTAGACACAAGCTTTTAAAGAGCATTTTAATAATCATCAGGTGTATAAAATCTATACACTTTAGTGGAAAAAATAGCTTCCAATTTAAAAGATTATTTTTTAAAACATACGTATTCATAGATTTATGAAGGAATGTCATATCTATCCAGGTGGGGCTCTGTGATATTTACCACATATTATGATATGTTAAAATTTTTTCCTATGTGTTTCCAAGGCAGACCAGATAAACAAACAAACAAAATATTCCAAGGCAGATTACAAACAAGCCTCCTCCACACCTCTGACCTGGAGCTGACCACAAAGAAATTCTTACTTATCTTTGTCCAACAGTAGCTCACAATGAGTCTCTTCATTTAGAAGGTGTCCTGTGCTGTCTATACCAGCAAAGAAAGAATACCAACAATAATTTCAAGTGATAGGAAAAACTGAACTTCCCAACCAGTCTATTAGCAACCATGACTACTCAATCATGGTACCTCCTGACAAGCCAGAAGAACCGAACTTGGAGAATTTCTGGGTAGCTGAACACAAGCTTTCTGCAAGCCAAGGCCTGCCAAAGAGGGCAAGCTTGACCTCCTCCTGCAAGCCAAAGCAGTTGGTCAGATGCACAATTTGAGTTTATGGTTTGCAATTTAAGTGAACTAACAGGGTTTTGTAGACTGAGCCCTCAACCTGAAGACTAGAGCTAGTATCTGAAATAACTAAATTCAAAGACACTGGCATGTCTCCATGCGGCTGACTGCTGCTCCCTGGTTGGAAGAAATTCTCACATTGAGGATTACAGAAGTGACCTGTATTCTGTGAGTATGGGAGAAACTGAAGTTAATATATTT